CCCCCTCCTGCTTGGCTTGGGGGCCTGGGGAGTCCAGGAGTGGGGTCTGAGATGCTGCATTCACAGCCTGGGGGCAGTGCAGGACAGCCTCCACAAGCACCAAGGAGGCCACAGAAACTGCCCCACTCCCCCAAGCCACATTCCCTCCAGCCCGGCTCTAGCCATGTGCCTCCTGTACTGTGATCCCCTTCATATTTTTTCCTTTAAATCAATGTACTTAGCCTTATCCTAATCAATAAACTTCGCCTCATCCTAAACAATAGTAGCTATAAAATCACAGATGTGATATGCTAGTTTTATAATGTTTCTAATACATATTCCATTTTCTTTAAAAAAAGGTGTAACTATTAAAAAATGTTCAACCATGTACCAACCAAAAAGCACAGGCCCCAGCGAGTGGTGAGCTCATCGCAAGCTGGGAAACCCTGGGTCTGTTCTGTGCCTTCTGTGCCCAGACGGTGGAGCCAGGGCTGGGAGAGAACAAGGAAGTGTCACTGGTGCTCAGGAAACGAGGAACGCTGTGTGGGGCTAGCAGCCAGGTCTGCCGCCACCTAGGCCATCCTGGAGGAAGCAGCCTGTCCGTCCCAGGCTGGGGCATGGGAAGGCTGGTTGGCATCCCAGCCCCATCATCACCAGCTCTGTCATCCACACTTGTCACTCCCCGCTCTTGGAGCCTCAGCTTCCTCATCTCTGCCGTGGGGCAGTGACTCTACTTACCCTTGGGTTGCTCTGAGCCTAAGCTCCAGGATGTCTGATGTGCGTCCAGCACAGGCCGGGCATGGCCTGTCCCCAGGTGTCCCTGGGGCCCTGCCTGACATGAGCCAAGTTAGGAAGCCTCTCAGACGTGCTGGCACCATCCACATCTGTCTGGCCAGCCAGCCAGCGTTGTCCAGCCTCATGGCCCAGAATCTGTGGCTGGTGCCCTGGCTGACCTGGTCAGTCCAGCCAGCCCTGAATCTGTCTCTCTCCAAGTGAGGCAAGAGGCTCCTGCATTTTTCCATGCTCTGGAAATGCCCCGGCTGCTTCCAAGGCAAGAGAGGCTGCCCTGAGTTGGCAGGGGAGCTGCAACTTGAAATGAGGCGTCTGGCTGCCACCCCGAGATGACCACATAGGGAAAGGGGCTCCAGGTCAGCCTCGGCCTCCTGAGACTCCAGATGCCAGGCTAGGTCAGCGTGGAGACACACAGTGGGCTGTCTGTAGAGGGTCCTCAGGACCAAGTCCCCACCCCACAGGCATCTGGGGAGGCCCAGGAGACCCTGCTCAGGTCCAGCGAGCGCATCCACAGCCGGAATGTGGGCAGACAGCCTCGGGATAGTGGGGAGCCCTCCCTGGGGAGTGCGAAGCAGAGAGAAGCTCCCGCTCCTCCTCTTGCAGGTGAAGCTTATGGGGGTTCCTCATCTCCCACATGCTCCTGGGACACAGACCCCTGTCCCTTGGCCTCATAGATGCTTCCACTGTCCTGTAAAAGCCCTGCCCAAACACGGCCATCTGTGTCCCTCTCCAATTCCCTGCCACCCTTGCTCATGGCCGCAGCCTGCCCTTGTGGTTCCTGGGCCTGCCCCGCCTCCAAAGCCCCCAAAGTCATCCTGATTTCAGGCCTGGGCTCCTCTCTGGGCCCTCACACTTTCCCTGTCCCGTTAGGGGCTGGACCTGTCTTCAGGGAGAAACAGGCCACATTTGCCGGGGCTTCCTCACTCTAGTCCAGCATCCTCCCCGACCCAGGCCCCCCGGCCCGGCCCACCCTTCCCTCCCCCACCCACCTGCCTCTCTCCAGCTCCCAGAGCCTCACTTGAACAAGGAGGGCACTAGGCAGCTGGAGACAGGTCAGGTGGGTGGAGGACAGGGTGGAGACAGCTTTCAGACCCTCTGTTTCCTGGCTATGTGGCCCGGGAAGCCACTTCTGGCTCTGCTTAATTGCTGCATTTAAAAGTGAGGGTAGAGCCAAGCACCTCGGGAGCTGGGGCACTGCCGTGGGATTACATGGGGTTACGTGTGGCATGCACAGGGCTCCTCCCCATCAGCACCAGGCCCTGGGTTCGGAGTGTAGCAGCCAAGTGGGTGCAAAAGCCCGTTTCCCAGGGATGCGTGGTGGGGACTGGCGCGGGGGACAGTGGTTCCAGCTGATGTCCCTTCATTTATTCATCTGCCGTGTTTGCTGAGCTCCTGTGCTATGCCTGGCCTGTTGGAGGCACAGGGGCCGGCTCTCCCGGGCTCTCTGCCTGGTCATGGGGGAGGCATCTACATCCAGGCACCGAGGTGAAGACAGCTGGCAGTGACCCCCGCTGGTGGGTCTGTGACTGCCGGTCTCACTCTCTTTGAATTGCACCTAGGAGCCAGGGGTAGGGCTGAGCGTAGAAATGAGGACCCTCAGCTGAGGAGCAGAGTGGAAATTCTCAAAGCAAGCCCTGGAACCACTTCAGCAGCATCTTTGGGGAATTCTTAAAAAGCAGATTCCTGGGTCTGGCCTCACCAGGACGGAATTAGAATCTCGGCTGGGTCCTAGGGATCTGCATGTCCCTGAGATGCACCCAGCTTATTCCGATGTAGGTGGGAGGGTCGCATTACTGCAATGGGACAGGTCGCCAGGGAGATTTCACTTAGAGGGGTGAAGGGGTCAAGGACACTATGGATGCTTTGGGTCTGGTCAGATTAATGCCTGAAAATAGATTCGTGCTCATTTAAAAAGCTGAGCATTTGCCATCTGGGTACTCCCGCGACCCCTGCACACTGCCTCCATCCCTCAGTCCCCGGAGCTAAGAATTGCCATTCAGGGAACCCAGCCTGGTCCAACCTCCTGAGTCCAAATGAAAAAGGAACAGGCCTGGGGAGGCCAGCGGGAAAGGGGTTGCCAGTCTGCTGCCTACTCTGGGCAGGTTTTTGAGATGGGTGTCAAACTCTTTCTCTAGACAACCTCAGGAGGGAGGTGCTAGTCCTCCCAGAAGAGATGAGGAAGTGAGGAAGTTAGCAGGGCAGCTGACAAGGTGAGGTGGGCCTGGAGCCCGGGTCTGCCAACTTGAATTCTGGCTCTTTCTTTTTGGGGGTGTTGTGCTCTGCCCTGTGCCATGTTCCCCAAACTGGAGGAACGCTGACTGCAGCTGCCCTCAGTTCATTTCGCCTCGCCCCTTCCAAGCCTTCCCCCAGCAGTGACCTCTCAGAGGTCATGTGTCTCAGAAGTCTGTCGCAGGAAGCAATTTCCCTGGGTTTCTGCCCTAGGATCAACTTTGAAAGAATTCGTGGGTGGTTATGTGAAATGACGTCTTAAAAGACAGTACAGTCACAACTCACATACGAATATAAAACGAATACCTGCCGAACACCTTGTTTAATTTGTGAGGGAGTCAGTAAGATATTACCACTGGTTCATAGAATTCGAAGTGCCTGATATGGTTTGGCTATTTCCCCACTCAAATCTCATCTTGAATTGTAGCTCCCATAATCCCCATGTGTCGTGGGAGGGACCTGGTGGAAGGTAATCGAATCTTGCGGGCAGGTTTTTCCCGTGCTGTTCTCGTGATAGTGAATAAATCTCACGAGATCTGGAGGAGATAAAGGGGAGTTTTCCTTCACAAGTCCTCTCTCCTGCCCACCGGCATGTAAGATGTCCCTTTGATCTTCCGTCGTCTTCCGACATGATGGCGAGGCCTCCCCAGCCGTGTGGAACTGTGAGTCCATTAAACCTGTTTTCTGTATAAATTACCCAGTCTCAGGTATGTCTTTATTAGCAGCATGGAAATGGACTGATACAATACCACACCTGTGAGGCAGAACAGTAATATGAATTTACAAACAGATGCAAAACTGGCTGAATACGCAGGGAGGGAAGTGAAATTAATCATATTTCAACTGGACAATAATTATTGTGCCCGTGGATGGGAATCATTCGCATTGCTGCCAATCATCTAGAACTTACAGAGTTGCAATTCAGCTCAAAGACAATAAAAAGCCTGACACTCCGTTGAATCAGATAATCCAGAAGGCTATGCTTAGACAATGCTGTGTTTTGCACTGAAAACACCTCATAATTTTTTTTATTCATCTTAAAGTCTTTCAGTTTTCAGAAGACTTTTCTTGCAGCCAAATCTGGCTGTGACCTTCCTTGCAGCCAAATCAAAGAGGAAACCAGCTTCAAGTGTAGTGTCTGTGTATACTAGTTGTTCACAGTAAGTTCAGCTTCTCACTGCATTGAGACCAGGTTCTCCTTTTGAGAGGTGCTTCATCAAGGGAACTCAAGTGACATAGAAAGCAACATCCTTGACAGTATTCTTGCCACAAATACAGTGGAGCTGTGTCCCTAGGCCAGGGCAGTGGCTCTCAGAGTGTGGTCCCAGGACAAATAACATCACTTGGGAACTTGATAGAAATGCAGATACTCAGGCCCCACCCCAGACCTACTGAGCCATCTGTGTTTTACCAATCCTCTGGATGATTCTAATGCAAGCTGAATTTGAGAATCATGGGACGAGAGTTATCAACCCTGCAGTCAAGCGTTAGAATTACCTGGAAGGCTTTCGAAGGACATCATGGCTGGGCCCACCCAAACCAATTCATGCAGAACCCGGTGTGCCAAGCCAGTTGTGTCTATCTTTAAAGCCCCCCAGGTAGTCGGACCACGCAGCTAGGAGAGAGGCCCACTGCTGCTTAGTTGTTTAATGCAAACTGAGGCCAACAGATGTGCCATTTGCTGCAGAGAAATCCAGACCTTCACTTGCAAAGCTTATATGAGAGGGTGCCTTCCTTCTGTCCTTCTTCCCTTCCTCCCTCCCTTTCTTACTTCCTTCCGTCTTCAACACTGAGCACTACTATGTAGATGGCAGAGATCAAGGGCCCACAGAGGAAAAGGTGGCATTGGTTTCTGATCCCAAGGAGTCAGCACCTAATGGGAACTTGGGAAGTAGTCTAGTGGGAATTCCAGGCAGGTGAGGGTGTCGGTGATGGGGACAGGATGGTAGGGCAGCCCTCGGTCCATTCCCATCCCTGTCTGATGCTGCTTTTCTCTCCAGGTTGTGAGGGGATGTGGGACAACATGAGCTGCTGGCCCTCTTCTGTGCTGGGCCGGACTGTGGAGGTGGGGTGCCCGAGATTCCTCCGGATGCTCACCAACAGAAATGGTAACCACTCAGCCCATGGGGCCTGGCGGGGCAACTGATGGGGGGCCCTCTGGGTGGGGCCTCAGCTTAGAGGTAGGGGGCCAAGGAACCTTTTCTGAGGACAAGTATGGGCACAATGATTCGGGGAGATGATTGCAGGAGATCAGAAGCCTTGCTTGGGAATGTGGAGTGGGCTCAATTCTCAGGGTCTCAAGCAAGGGGGCGGGAGGCAGTGCACTGGGGAAGCGGGTAAGGGAGCCTGGCCTGCTTGTCTGCCCCATGCCTTTCAGTTAGGGGCTCTCTTCCTCCTTTCCGTGTTTCTGCTCCCTTACCAACCAGGGGCCTTGCTCCAGCCCCCATGCCTGGATCCTCTCCTGGCAGCTCCCTAACGGCTTGGCCTTCCAGAATGCTTCCTTCCTCTGTCAGGCCCTGCTGATGAACTGGCTCCCTGGGAGCCCTCAGCCTCCTGGGGCGGAAGGCTCTCTTACCAGAGGACAGCTGTAATTTTAAGAATTTTCCTAATTGCCACACATTGATGAAAAGTCGACCATGCACAGGGCATTTTTATAAGTATACGTGGGCTCATTTAGTCACCATAAACCCGCCACAGATCACAGACCTTTTCTCTTGATCCAGTAAAGAGTAATAATCACAGGGACTAGGAAAAGCTGTGCAGCTGTCCCTCTTTCCTGGTCCGGGCAGGACAGGAAGAGCTGCCTGATGAAGCCTGAACAAGAACAAACCAAAGTCAGGCAAGGCAAGATGACCACGGGTCAGAGGCTGTGGGAGGGGAGTGCAGGTTCTTCTCACCATAATTCTGCCGTCCACATGCACACGCGTGCACACTCACACATATATTTGGAAAACTTGCTGCTCCCTCGAAGCCTCACTCGACACCCTACACTATGGGAAACGGAGGGGCTGAGGTAGACAGGCTTGAACCCCACTCCTCCACTCCCTGGCGTGGTAATGCTACCTGCAGTAACAGACAACGCCCCACGTCTCAAAGCCTTCAGGCAAATGTGTCCACAGAAAGTCCAAAACAGGCCAGGCATGTTGGCTCACGCCTGTAATCCCAGCACTTTGGGAGGCCGAGGTGGGCGGATCTCTTGAGGTTGGGAGTTTGAGACAAGCCTGACCAACATGGTGAAACCCCCATCTCTACTAAAAATACAAAAATTAGCCAGGCATGGTGGCGCACACCTGTAGTCCCAGTTACTCAGGAGGCTGAGGCATGAGAATCACTCGAACCTGGGAGGTCGAGGTTGCAGTGAGCTGAGATCGTGCCACTGCACTTCAGCCTGTGCCACAGTGAGACTGTCTCAAAAAAAAAAAAAAAATGTCCAAAACAGGAAAGAGGTGTTCCTGATTAGCAGGTGGCTCTGCTCCACACAGTGACTCCAGCACCCCACACCTCACAGCTGTGGCTTCAGCAGTTTCCAGGCTGACTGATGGAGGAGAAGGACCCGGGGGACCACATGGCAGAGGTTCAGAAGGTGCGGGCCTGGGACGGATCCCACTCTGCCCACATTCCTTCAGCTAGAACTCAGTCACGTGGGAACATCTAACTGCAAGCGACCTGGGGAAATGCCGTTTTGCTGGGTGCCAGTCAGCCTCAGAATCCAAGTTGCTCACTGCTGCTAAGCCTCAATTTTCTTGACTGTAAAATGGGGAAATTAAGTAAGATCTGCCCTGTAAGGCTGTGCTTGGAAATACATTTTGTCCCTTCTCCCTACCTCCTCTCCTTTCTTTCCCTTCTTCTCCC